TAAATAAAAAATGGATGACGGAGGAGACTCATCCACTCTCCTCCTCTTGCATGTTTCCGCTGTCCATAGCGTTCCTTGACAGCGTCGTTTCTAAGTCACCAATTTAGTGCTACTTGGTCCCAATGGAATTTCCCATTGGGAACCTGCTAGCACTAAGATGCTAACTGGTTAGCAAGATGCTTCCGACAAACCGGCCACAACCAAACTTGCTTGCGAACCTTCCGCCACAACAGTCCCGCCCCCTTGATAATCGTCCAATCACATTCACTTTATCACTCGTGTGAAGTCGTGCACCACTCGGAAGAATTCAGAAATGCAACCGTTGTAACAGTCGCTTCCTACGACTTTAAATAAGCTAGAAATTAAGCATTTTTTTTCTTTTTACCTTAATCTGACCAGAATATTCTGAAATACCCAGATTAGTTTCTGTAACTTTATCAATACAAAGAATTAGCATTATTTTTAGCCTGCAAGTGATCATTGCACCATCTCTGTGTTTTTACAACTTTTTAACCAGAATTTGCTAAAATGAAAGTAGTTGACAATTTAATCAGAAGATATTTAATTTTTTTTACGTAACCATGAAGAGATAAGATTACTACTGAAGTAATAAATAACTTAAATCACTCCCTTGACAAAGAGATCTCTTTTTCAAGGCCAAGACAGACACACATCACCGCAGTTCGGTTTATTACAGACAATTTCCTAAGATTGTTTAAAAACATTTACAAACTGTGGATTTAAATTTAAACCTTTGAGCAACAGTTTAAACTGACAAATCGAAACCAGGTCTTTTCATTTTTGTTCTTTTTGTAAATCGTGCCATGTTTTGCTGGCAGAATACTGAAACGCCACCTCACCAGCTAATTTGCTACAGACAGCAGCAGCGATTCTTGTGACTTTAAAGAATACAGTCCAGCTGCTTTTGGTTTAATAAATCAACACAGCCGGCAAATAACACCCAAGTAAATAAACTTATACCAATAAGTGGCCGTCCCACATGTGCATAAAGTTCACAGTGGTGTGTAGGAGGCATACAGTTTGTGATGCACCTCAATGAGGGATGATAAACAGAGTCCAGTAGTTTCATTACAGGTCACTAAAATCCAGAAATGATGTAAATGTTGCAGCTATAAGTTTCCTTTTTACATTGAAAGGAAAAAAGACCTGCTTATTTCCGAAGAAGCCAATTTTCACTCTCTGTTTCTAACCAAATGTTTTGTGGTTTACTGTCAGTCACTCATCTCCTCCCTAAAAATCAGTTGCTGCTTTTGATCAGATCCTTTAAAAACTAACTCTCACAATTTTTTAGTCAGATAATCCAATAATCCAAATGATTTATGTTAATGCACTGTTGAGATTATTTAAATAGATAAAAGTTGGAGACGGCTTGTAGAAGTTTTGAGCCGATTGACTACAAAAGTAACGCAAAGTAATAAGACACCTGGCTGTCATCCTGCTGTTGGCAGATTTCCTTAAAACCACTAGAGCTGCACAGTGTACGAAACAGCATATAAATGTGCAGCATCCAGACTGCAAAGGACAACTTTTAAGACATTCAGAATTTAACTTATCCTTAGTGTTTAAACGAGGTGTTTTCCTTTACCAGATAAGATGCAAAAACTTTAGTTTTAGGGACATTATCTAACGGTATAAGAGAGACGTGGGGGGAAATAATGGCTAAACTCAGATCAACATCAATACTGCAGTTTTCCAGAATGTGGTATTTACAGTTACTTGTTAACCTCCAGAACCCAGATTTATATAAAAAATTACTATTTTGATAATTTGCAAGTATAAAATATATATTTCTGAGCTTTAAAAAATTTTAGATTTCTCCCAATTTTGATGATGAAGAGGGTGTTCTGATCCAACTTTTTCCACTGATAGAACAGCCATGAGGGAACGACAGATACAGGTTTTCTACGGCCGATGAAGAGGCCAAATATCTCCAATAAAACTGAGCTCTGATATGTGCTGCCAATCCTTTTCTTTGAGTTGGTATCATTTTCTCTTCCGCCCATTTAAATGTTAAAAATGTCACAATGCTAACAAACTTGACAATCCTTGACAAGTCTTGATTTAAACAAAAAGAAACATGAACTAATCAAATAAAACAAATGCATAGATAAATGGAGGGAGCTGAATTGCACACGCTGTGATCTAAAGGCATGGCTGACAAATGCACCAAAATTCCAAAATCGGTTGTTTTGACGATGCTAAAATTGACGATGTTTTGGTCAATCGCTAATGCAAGTTTTGCAGCTTTGAGTTATGATTAATAACTATATAGACCCGATAAGATATAAGCACGAATCATGCATACTTTTCAACGTGGGCTGAAAGGTCGTTTAAAAATGTTTTTGTGAAAATAATGGAAACACTAATTCCTCAGCTTTCAGGGAGATTTTCCAGGATTTTATAGAAGTTCTGCAGTACGATGGAGTATTAGTGTCAGGCTAGTGTTTTTTCTTTTATTTTTCTCTATTTTGAGAATAAAGTCGCAACATTACGAGATTTACGAGAAGGAAGTCGTAAAATTATGAGAATGAAGTCGCAACATTAATAGTAAGTAATTGAAGAAAAAAAAAAAGAAAGAAAAATAACCTGATCTAATTCTCCGTCGTACTGCAGAGCTTTAGTTCAAATTCATCTTTTTTCCCTCAAGAGTTTTTAAAAAACGTATTCCTCTGAAGAAAAGCAGATTAACTAAGAGACTCTTTCCAGAGGCGCTGTACTAAACATGGGGCCAGATGGGAGCTTCATTCAGACTGGACCAGAGTCTGATTGTTTTCTGTTTATTTCAGGCACAACAGCTGGGAACCGCAGGAAAACATCCTCGACCCGAGACTGTTGGCTGCGTTCAATAAAAAGTAAGTGTATGTCTGAGAAAAATCTATGTTCTTAGTTATAAGACTCTTTCTATGAAGTTAATTTTGTTCCATTGTTGTTGTAAAAAAATGCTTTTGTTAAATGAAGTAAGAAAACAAAACAAACAATAGAAGCGTTTTAATCATTATATTCAAGAAGGTTTTTTTGGAAACTCAGAGGTGACCTATATGAAGCTCAACTCTGACACCAATGACAACATATTGGTGAACAAGGTTAAAAAAAACAAACCTGAGAATGAGCAGAAGAGTCCTGCACTTCTGTGTTTTGGCCACAAGGGGCAGTATCATTAGAACTGTCAGTCACAGCTCCAAGTTTCTTTAGACCAAATACGTGAATTTGTTCCTTTCTCCATTATTTTGGAGGAAATTCAGACCACTCAGACATATTTTGGACACTATTGTTCTATGAGGTGATAGAAATGTAAAGTCATGTTGGTAAGAGACGTTGCACTACTGAGGGAAGCACATAGATATTGAATAAAAGTGGTCTGAAAAGCCCCAGACGTGATAGTTTTTGTTCAGAATTGAATTTAAGAGAATAAATCAGTGTAAATTTGAAAAGCTTTGGCTCAGTATTAGATGAACTCAACAACTTTTCCAGTTTATTTTAACAGTATGTCCGGAACAACAGAGTTTCTATAAGACCTGGACTGAATTGTGGACGTTAAGACAGACCTCTTTGAAGCTGTCTCAATCCTTGTTTTGGGGTCTTTTTGCCTAAAAACTGTTAGTAAACTTTCTTTTGCCAAAATGTTTGGTGAAACACACCGAGTGAAAGTTGGAAAACATGGAGCTATATGTAGGCAGAAGCAGGTGGTCAGATATTCAGTAGAAAGCTTAGAAATGATGCAGATTGACTAAAGGTTCTGGAGGCATAGGATATATCACCGAGTAACCAAAGTGGAATATCGTTTGGATTATCTTCTCAACTTAAAACCTTTCTGTCATCAGAGAACAAGAAAAGGAGCTTCTGATGCTTAAAAGACGCAAAAGACCCAGAGGACGACCCAGAAAGATCATAGTAAGTAGAAACCAGAGTAGAACCTTCTTCTGTCTGACCCGGCATGCCTCTCTTTACATTTGCTCTTGACATTTTAGGAAAATATTCCAGAACCCCAAAAATCAAGCAGTTCGTCATCTGCCTCGTCTTCAACGTCCTCTGACTCTTCATCCTCGTGCACTTCTTCTTCCTCATCATCATCAGACGATGAGGACGAGGGTGACGACGTCAAACAGGCGAGCCCGACGGTCCGTCCGCGAGAGCTGCATCCCGTCCCCCAGAAGAAGGCGCAGATCGTCATGGCGAAGCAGGAGCCTCCAAGAAAACGGAGCCGGAAGCCCCTTCCTTCTGACGCGAAGGACTTCCACCAAAACAAGGGTCAACGCAAGATGGTGAAGACCACCAAAGAGACGGAGCTTCCAGGGGCCATCAAGAAGCCGGTTCATCCCGCCAGCTTTACCTTCATGGGTTTCCACCGTAGCTCCGCCAAAGATCCAGTGGGCGGTCAATACCGGAGCCCTCTGAGCCCCAGTGCCGTTAAAAATCCTATAAGCACGGCTGGATCCGGCAGGCCGTCAGTTCAAAGCTCGTCTCTGCCCCTGAACAAGTCCAACCAGAACAGGAATACAAGTGAGGGGAAAGTGTCCATCTCCAGCATGAACAGCGGTGCAAGTCTTGATCTGAAAGCAGCTGCGTGTAAATCCAAAGGGGTGGCTGCTCTGAACCTGAATACCTCCAAACATCCAGTTCAAGGAAGCCCTCAACGCACTCTGAGCCCACCAGGTGGACAAAAGAAGCCACAACCCACTGGGTCCACAGCACAACGCGGCCCCACTACTAAAACGGCGCCTTCCCAGCCTCCTAAGAACGCCTCCTCCAATCAAGGTTCAAGTCTTCAGCCTCTCAACCTTCAGAATAAGCAGCTCCAAGTCAGTGACGCTCCTGGAAGTGGCGTTACGGCGGCGTCAGGCCCAAGAAATCCAGTCGTCCCTGCAAGAAAGACCACAGCCACACAGAACCCAGAGACGGGCGCCGTCAAAAGTCCTGTGACGTCTGGAAGATCGCCTGCCAGGAAACCCCAGCCAGCCGGAGACAAGTTCAGAGGGGTGAACGAAATCCAGAACGCTAAGGTCCAAAACCGCTTGGACAAGTCTTACACCGAGATCCAGAACCCGCAGGAGAGAACCGCTACGAAAGGCAGCAAGAAAGCCAAAATGACAGACATGAGCACAGGCGAAGAGGAGAGCAGTTCAGACTCCGACCGAGACTCTTCCTACGCCGGGCAGGGTCACCCGGTGGGGGGCCACAACCAGGACTGGAAGCCCACGCGCAGCCTGATCGAACACGTGTTTGTGACCGACGTCACGGCCAATCTCGTCACGGTCACGGTCAAGGAGTCTCCGACCAGTGTGGGCTTCTTCAGCATCCGCAACTACTGACGGCCGATTTAGGCCGGTTCTGGCTCCAACAGGGTTCCTTAGTTCATCTCATGTTAGTCCAGACACATTTTAGATGCAAACCATAAAAATAGAGAGTTGATTATGATTGTAATTATTTATTTTGTCATATGTATAAAAAAAGGCATTTTGGCCTCACCTTATGGTGGCAGAAATAAATGTTTTTCCACTTCTCTCGTCTTATGAAGTTCTTAAAAGATTCAATCGACTGAACTTATTCACAGTCACTGTGATTTCCAGCCTTGAAGGGACCTCTTTGTGAGGTTATTAGGAATAGTTATCGTCTTTATAGAAATCAGCTGCACAGGATCTTATTCAATTCAATTCAGTTAATTTATAAAGCACAAATTCACAACACATGTCATCTAGCACTTTGC